ATTCTACTGGAGAGCCTGAAAACGGCACCTTTGATAGTTGGGACAGCAAATTTGAACTTGAGAGGTAGGAAAAGGGGGATAATACATGACCAGGCAAGTCCCTTTACCAAATTGACTGATCGTGATAAATATTTTTTTTATTACATAGGAGCTGGTCCCACAGAATCTTGGAAAAAAAAATTTAACTACAGAGGGGAATTGTGTTATTGAATATCGCGTGGGAAGGGGTATACTCTGAAGTTGGAGTCAAAAATAGCCGAGTGGTTAGCAGTGCATAATACCATGTGGATGAACTTTGGTTTCGTATTCAAGTTCGACCATTATCCAAAATTAAAAAATATATAATTTTTCTAATTGCAGTCCACCTATGCAGGGAATGACAACCTCGCTGCGTGTATTTCTGTCATTAAACAATGAAGCTTTTTATTTTGTTTGAGGAATATGTACATTCGGAGGGGTTGACATTACCTGAATAGCAGTTTTGAAATTAATTTGTTAGTTTGACTAGAGTTTGAACCCTTGCCCTTCGAATGGTAGTACCACACGACTATTGCGGCCACCCCGATTGTATGTAACGACATAGAATACTCAAGATAGGTACGGACATATTCGAGTATATCTAACTGCTTGGAATGAGTAGATAAATCGATTTAGCCAATTATAAATCAAAGAAATATGAAAGATTACAAAAGGGTCGTTACATGTATATCAGAAACATTCTAAAATAGCTCAAAGGTCTGATATAAAAAGTGTTATAAAACATACAATCAGGCTATTCCGGTTCGAAAAATTAACATGGAAAAATTATGCCACTAACTAACTTCAAGTGTTTTTACATACACCGTTCATAAACTAATAACACACACTGAGGTGATCTTTTTTTCTCAGGCCTGAACGAACCTTTAGCCAACGCTTATAGATAGGTGGACCCGTTGATGATAGCAGTTTTATGGTCCTGTGCCTTGACGAGCAATTGCCCGCAGCCCACTTAAAGGTGTTTCGTCGTATGGAATTTCCTAACTGTTGTGCCAAAGATGCTGTGACGCATCACATCACTTAGATGATATTTCGAGCAGAGAGCCAGAGTGTTGGGCACACGAGTAGTTAATTCATTCAAAATTTTAGTCGGTATATTCGAATTTTGTGACCAAAGCAAATTAAATATTTTTCTCACGTAGAAGGTATACACATTTTTAAATAAATAAATTGTGGAATGCAAGCGAGACAAAATGAATGTATTAAATATTACAATAATTTAATTCGACAAATGGCAATGAAGACAAAGTTCATCGAATGATGGATGTTAAATAAATGTACGAATACATTTACGAGTATTTATGCATAAAAATACAAATTTACAAGATGACGGTAATAAGCGTTTACATATATGTACACGTATATATGTATATATGTTTGTGAATATACCGCAAACGCTTGTATACATTCCCAATCGATATGGCCGTTTTGATTTATTCGCAGCGTCCTTGCCGGAGATGCCTTAAACAAATCATTTTTTAAGCCAATCATAATTTTCTCCACAGTCACTCAATATTTTGCCAATATCTACTTATATACATATAAAAATATATATATGTAAGTAATATAAATTGATATTCAGTTGTTTGTGCATATGTATGAGTGATTGTTTGTTTGTTTTGTACAAAACGTTATACCAAAAATGGACATACATATTCGCGAACATGTGCACATATGTATGTTAACAATAATGTCCATACATATGGATGTATGTCTGTCGTTAACATACAGATTAGTGTATCAGATTAATATAATTACATTTAATCATACATTTGGAATGAAGCGTTTTCGCAATATTTTCGTGTTGGCGCTGTAAGCCTTCTGAGCGGATAAAACAAGAACAAGAAAAGAAAACAAAGTGAAGAAATAAATTAAAAATACCGTATGTTCATGCATAATATGGCACATAAAGCCACATCTACATACTTACTTTAATATATATAATTACTTACGGTTGTTTGGATAATTTCAGCTGTGCGGCGAGAAACGTGGCAAATCTTTAATATTCATTTTTTCCACATTATTTTAAAAAATATGTTCATTTGATTTATAATTATTTGCCTCGAGCCACCGATGAATTCGTGTTTTATGCACACATACATACATATATACATACATATATACATACGTACAGTCATTGATACCTACTTGCACAAAGCAATCCGTTTATTTTATATATGTATGTATATGTTTACTATATATATGTATGTGTGGGCGTATAATTTCCTTTGTAGCAAACAACAAGTAGCCGGTTCTCTAAGATTTATTTCACTTTCGATTAGTTAATTTTAATCATAATTATGTCAAAAACGTTAGTTCGGGCTGCAACTCTTTTGATTTATTGATTGCTTCTCTAACTCGCGGAACACCCACATTTCGATTTTACATTCAAATTCAAATATTTTTCGTACATTTGCCATTTAAACATCCGTAGTTACTTACTTACTGAGTTTATAATGCGCCATTCGTTTCTTTTTATCGCTGTTTGACGCCAATTGAAGATACCAAGTTGAGCCAGGTAGCTATCCACCTGGTCTTTCCAACGGAGTGAAGGTCTTCCTCTTTCCTTTTCATCTGCTTCCATCGGCGTAAACTTTCAAAGCCGGAGAATTCTACTTTCCATCCGGACCACATGACCTAACCAGCATAGCCGCTGTTTCTTGATTCGCTGAACTTTGTCAATATCATCATATAGCTCGTACAGCTAACCTGTCATCTACTACGGTATTTGCCGTTACCAATGCGCAAAGGACTATAAATCTTACGCAAAACCTTTCACTCGAAAACTCCTAACGCCGACTCACCTAATATTGTCATCGTTCATGCCTCCGCGCCATATAGCAGACCGGGAACGCAAAATGGCTGGTAGAGTTTGGTTTTCGTTCGGCAAGAGAGGACTTTACTTTTCAATTGCCTACTCAGTTCGAAGTAGTACCTGTTGGCAAGAGTAATTCTGCGGTAGACTTCCAGGCTGACATTGTTGTTGGTGTTAATACTGGCTCAAATGTATACGAGCGTATCTTTAAAGTGATGACTGTCAACAGTGACGTGGGAGTAGCAAATGCGATGACTGTTTGTTTGATGACTGGAGATATTTCATCATGGTCTCGTTCACTACCTATGACTCATATCCTTCGCTTCCTTATTCAGTCTGCAGAAAGCAGAACTCCCGGCGCTGTTGCATTTTCTCTATTATGCTTTGCCGCTGTTATTATTTCCTCCCTCCCGCAATAAATTAAACAAGTCACATGATGTGGAACCCCCTTGTCTGAAACCTCATCTGGAATCGAACGGCTCGGAGAGGCTCTTCCCGATCCTCATGGAGCTTTTAGTGTTGCTTAACGTCAGGTTATATAACCATATAAGTTTTGGGAGGATATCAAATTCAGACATAGCTGCTTAGAGGCAGTTCCTTTTCGCGCTGTCAAATGCTGCTTTAAAATCGTCAAAGAGCTACTGTGTTTAAATCTCTTGTCATGGGACTTTCCCAAGATTCGTCTCATGGTAAATATCTGGTCAATGGTTGATTTACCATATCTAAAGCCAAAAGCCCAATAAGTTTGTTGACAGTTGGGTTTAGTCTTTGACACAAAACGCTGTAGAGGGCTTTATGTGCGATGTTAGGACTGTGGGATCGCCCTTTTTGTGGATTGGGCAGGGTACACTTTCAGCCGACCATTTGTTGCAAACATGCTAATGCATATACCCTGTTAGCTCTTCACCGCCATGTTTGAATAACTCTGCCAGTTGATCGTCAGTCCAAGTCACTTTATTGTTCTTAAGGCGGGCAATAGCCCAAGCTTAATTGTTGAGAGAAGTAGTAATAATTGTTTTTTGTCGCTAAAAAGTGAGTCTGAGAGATCGAAGGTGCTAAACTGAAACTTGTTTTAGGCCTTTATATATATATATATTCTTAAATTTTTGAAACCTCTGTACCGACTTAATTGGCTGAGTTCTACGAAAGGATGCGATTAAAAACTGAATCATACTATTGATGGACTCAAAACAATCATCTATTTAGCAACCAATGCCCAGAGTATATTGGGTTTATGGAGAAAACATTGCTTCCACAAGCTGCTAAATGGTAGTGAGAGTGAAATATCCGAAGGTGGTGAAGCCAAATTCCCAACCAATGAGGTATAATCCGTACCATTATCCCACTATGAAGAAGCCCGAAGCCATTCAAACATGAACTCACAAAAATTTACCAAATAAATCAGAAAAGGATCGTCACATAACATTCCTGCCACTATATCAAAACAGCTATGGCTATGCGCACTGACGCCAAGCAACACCAAAAGCTTAGTCCGAATCGGGAAGGTATTTTCCAAGCCTTTCAATATTCAACAAGGTTTCGCGCAAGGTGATCTGCTATCGTGTGACTTCTTCAACTTTACACCCTAGAGCTAAAGAGAGAAGATAAAACACCCTATAAACTGTCTCTAACTGTAAAAGTTTTCAACGCAGTACTCGCCGTTGGAATAAAAAGAAGAAGAAAACCTCAACTTCGTTGAAATGGTCTCGCGAAGGCAAGCCTGGCTTAACTTGGTGTCTTTAAATAGCGCCGGAAGACTTAGCTATTTTGGGCTCGCTTCCACTCTGTAGTGTTGTTAGGCAGGCAAAAGGTTTGGTTTTTTTAAGCATCTTCATATCGTTAGATCCAATATTCCTGCAAAATATTGTTGTGTAATCTCTTTGGACTTGATTCACGCTGTCTACTGGTGGTGTAAGGTTTCAGGTCTCTTTAATTTCTTTCTAATTCAATTAATTTAAAAATGCTAAGCTCAAAACATGTTTATATTATATTAGTATATAAAATAAAAATTAAAATTTCAAGCATTAGAATCAACAGATCGAAGTGATCGGTAGCGAATGTCAACGTTTCGTAAAAGATTATTCAAAATTATATGTAAAAAATGTTTTCTGAAGTATTTATCTACATTCTCCATTTTAATTCTTTCCAGATTAGTATCCAGTTTCACGTCAGCCATACTTTGTTCCCGCATACCAGGCCTTACACCCCAACAACGGCAGCTGTGCAGCGAATCGCCGGATGCACTAATCGCCTTGGGTGAGGGTCACCAGATGGGCGCTTATGAGTGTCAGTATCAGTTTCGCGGCCACCGTTGGAATTGCTCACAAGTGTGGCAAGAAGGTGTTTTCGCGCACGTCATGTTTGTCGGTAAGCTGTTGTAAATACCGCTCCTTACTTTTTATAACCTTGCACATATACATATACATACATATATGAACTACAAACAATCACTTTATCAACTGAACATATCACATGTAGGCTCCCGTGAGGCGGCTTTCACCTACGCCATCGCCAGCGCCGGAGCTGCGCACTCAGTGACGGCAGCTTGCGCGCGTGGCAATATTTCGTTATGTGGCTGCGACATGCGCCACAAGCCCACCAGTGCGCGACGTGCCGGCGGCGACTTCGACGCCAGCGATCTGCAATCGGACACGCAGCCATGGAAGTGGGGCGGCTGTTCGGCGGATGTCGATTTCGGCATGAAATTCGCACGCAAGTTTCTCGATGCACGCGAAATCGAAGGCGATGCGCGCACGCTGATGAATCTGCATAATAATCGCGCCGGTCGGAAGGTGAGTATCTAAATCCGCAATGCGTATATACTCGTACTTGTATGTCAGTTAATAGCAAATGAAATTTTACATTTATACTCTTTGCGCAGCTAGTTAAGAATCTGCTGAGGACGGAGTGCAAGTGCCACGGCGTGAGCGGCTCTTGTGTGATGAAGACGTGTTGGAAGAGCCTGCCAACGTTTCGGCAGATCGGCGAAGTCCTAATGCGTAAATACAATAAAGCCAAACACGTGCAAGCCATCAAAGGCAAACATGGACTGAAATTAGTATTAAGCAAGTAAGTGGCACTGAGTACGAGTGCATAAGTATGTTTGTTCATAATGGCTTATCTCTTGCAGGAAGAATCGCTTCGGTAAGCAGGTTCATGTGCCGAAGCGTATGGAGCTCGTTTATCTCCAAGCTTCGCCGAATTATTGCGAACGCAATGTGCAATTGGGTACGCTCGGCACGGCAGGGCGCTTTTGCAATCGTACCTCGAATGGACCTGAAAGCTGTGATCTATTGTGCTGTGGGCGTGGCTACAATACGCGTCAGGTGCGGCGCGGTAATCGGTGTCGTTGTCGGGTGAACTGTTGCTATAATGTGACGTGTGATGTGTGCGAGGAGAGCTACGAGGAGTTCACGTGTAAATAATTATGAATTAAGCAAATCCAAATTAAGCAAATTAATTAGTTTTTGTAGAAAAAAGTGTTACGTAATTAAAGCCAACGTTCGATGCTGAATAAGTGTCTTATTTATAATTATTTTTTATATTTTTTTACCTTTGTAAGACATTCGCTATAAAAAAAATTATATTTATTAGCTACTTAAAATTAACTTTTGTTAAATATAATATACTTTTACCAGAAGTATGTATGTATAAACTCAAAGAATTGAAAAATATCAATTTGTTAAGTTAATTTATTTATGAAAATTTTTATAAAAAAAAATTAAATTAAAAAGTTTTATATGTTCTGCACCGATTAAATTTGTTATATATTTTGAGCTTGAAGTTATTAACCGGGCAAAGTTTCTTCGTTCGTTTATGGAGCTAAATCGGCAATTGAGTTTATGCATCTAAAGCTCGATTGATGTTTATTACTTATATATCAGACCGCAAGGGGAGGATGTGACAGTATCGTCAAGCTCAAAACATTAAAAAATGAGTTTTATCCATGCATAATCAGTTTTACATTCTAACAAAGCGCGGCGAACTTATGAGTATATATTAGGTCAAGTAAAAAGTTTGTTCGGTTTTTATCTAAGAGATGGCGTTATTGTCCATAGTACAAAAGTGACGTGTCGCATCATGCCATACCATACGGCGCTGTCTCTGATAGTTTTTCCATTGGTTGACTCAGAACGTTATGAGCGCTCGTCAAAGATGGACACCGTTAAAGAGAAAATTTGCTCTATTTTACAATTTTTCTTCGATCAAAGAGAAAAGGCAGGGAAAGCGGCTGAAAATATTAATTCAGTTTATGGGCCCGATTCTGTCAACGAACGGGTGGCGCAAAAGTGGTTTGCTAGGTTCCCTTCCGGTAATTTCGACGTCAAAGAAGAATCACGCGTCGGGAGGCCTGTTGTCGAAAATAGCGAAAAAACCATGGAAATAGTGGAAACAGACCGTCCCGTGCGCTCTTATTTAATTGCTGAGGATTTTGACTGGCGAAGAAAAGTGGGTCACTTACGACAATATCGAGCGCAAACGATCATGGTCATAGCTCGGGGAAGCGGCAAAGCGCTCAATGCCAACAAATGGACCGCTTGAAGGCAGCATTCATCCAAAAGAGGACAACGCCAGGCCACACAGGTCCTTGGTGACGTGCCAGATGCTCCATGAGCTCGGACGAGAGGTCCTAATGCACCCACTTTATAATCCGGACCTGGCACCAAGTGATTACCACCTTTTCCTGTCAATGGCAAACGCGCTTAATGGTGAGAAGTTGGCTTCAAAAGAGACCTGTGAAAATTGGCTCTCTGAGTTTTTTGCCTTCTACGAGTGGGGTATAATGAAGTTGGCAACAAGTTTACGAACAAAACGGCGCATATAAGACTTAAATCGGACAAATGTACAAAAAGTTATCCTATTTTGAAAAATCAATAAAAAAACCGAACGAACTTTTTACTCCGGTCAGCCTTCGGCAGGGAATGTCCACCCCTACGAGTGTATTTCGGACATAAAATAAAGCTCTTCATAAAAACCGGTCAGCCGTTCGGCGGTGTCTTAGTAAAAATTGTAGGTCTCTCGATTTGTTGGAGAAACACCAAAACGCCAATAATTAAATTGGAGGAGGAGCTCAGCCGAAAATCGTTTTAGCGGTTTCAAAGCGCCAATTACACTCGTAAATATATATATATATAAATATATATATTGGAAACCTTGAATCAAACCCTATATCCAACTATTCTCTGTTGAAAGCAAACAAAAGAATTAACGAAGCTTTTGAGAAAATTTGAAAATGCTCAAGAGCTTCCTGCCAAATCAATGAGATCATCTTTTTAATGCCTGCTTAATAAAAATTGTTTTCCCGGCCCAGTGAAACGTAGCTGATATCAAGTCTGAAAATGGGAAAAAACACCTTTCAAACGCCCAAATTTATAGGGTTGCAGTCAAAATTTAATCGGTATTTCGGACATATCTCATGCCTTTGACAAAGTATGGCACAACGACGGCAGATGGTACACAAAATATAAAACACAACCTGGTATCCGGATATAAAACTAAAGTCGTTCCATTACCGCGCTATAGGAAACTTGAATTATGAAAGTACATCCCGTAAGACGCAGCATTGCCAACATCAAGCTTTCGTTTAGTTTCCAATGATAACGCTCATACACAATTTCCTTCATAATGCTACTATTTACTATCTGTCATTCTCGTTACATTCTCCATATACTTCTACAGTGTTTCATTTGCAACGGAATTTCCATACACAACAGTGTTCACAACAAAATAGCAACACTCAACCCTGAAACTAACAACCCCAACCCCCAAATAGTCACTCGCGAGGGAAGTGAGCGTAAGCAGAACAAATTTCTGAGTTGTAATTTTATTGCTTTTGTTTTTCTTACGGCCGGTGTGAGAGCTAACGAGCGCCTGATTTCCCATAGCAATAAGTACGCTGGCGCCACAATTCATTGATTATAAGTGCCAATACCCACGATACGAAGCGGCGAGTATACGGCACTTTACGCGTACTCTCTTCGTGCGCGTGCTGACTGCAATTGCGAGTGCGAGTGCGAGATGTCGGCTTAAGCATAATTTTTGGCCAAGTCAGCTATGGATTGAGGGCGGTTGGAATGCTACAATGTATAGTAGCCGTTGTTATTGTAAGTGTTTCTGCTTATGCTCTGAACATTTTGATTTCGTATAGACGTTTTGAGTCATACACGAGCACTCTTCTCCGTCTCCAACTGCGTGTGGCTACAGGCTCGTAGTGACAACTTTTACTCATTACAATCCTTTTTTTTTGTTTTTACCAAATGGGCTTTTCACGATTCGGATACACAACTACGAGGGCAAATACGACGACTTGGACAGCGCCGATGTTTCAGCACTTTTGGGTATATCAGCGGCGGTTCATCGAATCGGTGTTCAGTTCTTAAGGGTAGTTAGTTGGAAAACGGCGTCAAATCGGGCTAACGGTGCCGCACAATTGGGTTGATAACAAATTTTTTTGTATTGTTCTAAAACTAGTGGCGCAGAAGAGGGCACAGTGCAGAGGGCCAACAAGAAGCTGAAAAATGTATATATAAAATTGGTAGTAGTTGCAGAAAAAGTGTATACGCCAGCTTAGGAAATTGAAAAAATTCATAGAAAAATTGTGTTCAAATGTGGAAATCTCCAAATATCACAGTATATAATAGCAACAAATCGAATGCATTGTGCAACCCACCAAAAAATATCATAAAAAGGTATACATAAATAGATGTTAATTAGAAGAAAATTGAAAGAAAAAAAAATTTAGAATAAATAATCCAAAAGTGATAAGAGAAAATTTTTCCACAAAAATTCACCAACTGAAAATCATAATTATTTAATAAATAAAAAAAAAAATAAAAATAAAAAAATCCGCATAAGAGAAAAAAAAATTTTTTTTTTGGTAAAGAAAATGGAAAATTTAGTTGGGTATAACAGCGAAGACAGTGTAATGACCAAGCAAGTGATGTGAAAACTGAAGTGAAGTGGCAAGAGGGAGTTTTCTGGGTACAGAAAAATGAGTGCGAGTTAACGCGAAGTGCTGGTGAAAATGATGGAAAAATGCATTACTCCAGCTTAAGCTGACACGCACATTCACATATATGTACATACAAAAGCGATAATATCCCATCAAATGCTGGGCAAGAACAAGTTTCTTTTCCAACTTTAACCAAAAAAATGAATTCTCCTAAAGCCAAGTTATATTTTCTCACAATTTTCTCTAATATTAAAACCAAATTTTTTGATTTACAACGAATTTGATATGTATGTCAAGCGAAACGCTTGTAGACTAAGACCCAGAGCGCTGCAAAACTGTGCTACTATGTTAATAAGCACATATAAAACTTTACTTATACTCGTCTATATGTATGTAAGTGTGCGCGTGTATGTATACATGAGTATTCAGTGAATTTCATTAAATGCGTGTGCATGCATAAATTTAGGCGTTCAAGCACTGGATTCCACAGACGAGCCAACGAACAGAACGTCGAAGTAGCAATTCTTAAACATCAACTCAACTCACTTAGCACACACTTGCGGTGAGGAGGGGCAGTGTGACGCAAGAGCGTTTATACACATTTCCACATATTTACATACATACGTACATATAAGTTGTGTATGAGCCACAGACGCAAAGACGACAAGACGCGACGCGACGCAGAGCGACAAGGCAGAGATAGGCGAGAGTAGGGGCGGAGGGGTACTCAGTAGGACCGCAGGTTCATTGTATTAACTCAATCTGGCGTGGAGGTGTGATGCTTATCGATTGAAGGCAAACATGAAGTTTTATTATAAATTACATCAACCTACATCTGATACGAAAGCCTTTCGCCTTACTTACATACATATACTAATGTAGAATCACACGCATACACACGAACATTTATTATGTATAAATTTCACGTATATACACACACAAAAGTGGCATTAGTGTACCAGTAAATGTGTGTATATATGCATGTATGTATGTATGTTTCGAAAGATATATATATTTATTTATATATATATATATATATATATGCCAGCGTAGGAGAGTTATAAAAATAAAGCAGTTTGTGGAAAAATATTCATAGGAGAGCTACTATAAATACCAAGTCACCCAGTCACACACACATATACAACACACAAATAAAACATACTCACATACATACATACATACATATGCATATACCGTTGTATGCATAATTTTAGCGGCTCCAAAGTGCCAACCATTAAATACCTATACTTACTTGTAATGTGAAGCAACAACAAAAACAAAACAAATACAAATACAAAGTGCTCCCGCTCGAAGCATTGTGTGACATGCGCAATACAAGTGGCGCTCCTGTGTGAGCTAAGCTAAGCCACGAAGCAGTAGAATGGTATAAACGGAAGGAATTGCTGTGAAGCCCAGAGTCGAGCACTAAGTCAGGTGGTGAGAGCGCATTTTTTCATATTGAGTGTATTTTATTTAGACTCAAGCATAAACTCTCAGCACGAAGTTGAGCGAAGTCTCTATATTTGTGTATCTTTTCAACCAGAGCGCCAAGATTTTTGGTCGTTGAGTGTTTGCCTGTTTAAAATGTCATTTTAAATTCCCAATCTTTCAATGGAGTGTTC